CGCGCTGCTGCCGGGCGCCGAGCCCGCCGCGCACTGCTACTGCGGCCACCAGTTTGGCCAGTTCGCGGGGCAGCTGGGCGACGGCGCCGCCATGTACCTGGGCGAGGTGTGCACGGCCGCCGGCGAGCGCTGGGAGCTGCAGCTCAAGGGCGCCGGCCCCACGCCCTTCTCCAGGTGAGCCCGGGCGGGTGGCTGGGGGCCGGAGGGGGCTGACCCCCGGAGGGGCCCCACACGCCCTCTCCAGTGTGTGTGTGGGGGGCGTGCTCAGCCCCGCAGTTTTCCTCCCTAGTTGGGGGTGAGAAGTAACTGGAAGTTTGATCTAGGGACATAGACCGTGGGAGGGGGTCCCAGTATCCTGACGAAGGGAACAGCTTGTGCAAAGGCCCTGAGGTCAGAGGGAGAGAACCAGAGGAGGGGCTGTGGCTGCAGAGCCTCCGCCCCTGCTGCAGTGGAGCTGCCAAGTGCCCTTGTCCCCTCTGACCGGCTCGGGGAGGAATCCCGCTGCATCCCCCCAGTCCCGCAGCACTAGCAGCTAGCTGCTCGGTCCCGTTGTCATAAACAACACAAGGACTTTGGAATCAGTTCTGCGTGTGACACTGGTGTTTACCTCTTGCCCAGCCTAGCCACCAGTAATCGCGGGAGGCAGGGTGATTTGTCCTCTCCAGCATAGCATCTGTGTGTCCACCCACAGAGGCACAGTGTGTGGCCGGTGCCCTGGACAGGGACAAGACCCCCCTCAGATCCGATGGTCATTCTCCCAGGCACAGGCTTCTGAGCACTCATGGGCCAGGACCTGGGTCCGGATCCGGACAGCCTGACCTGGCAGGGGGCTCCCAGAGCTGTCCTGCTTCTTACATACAGACAGTGCTGATCGTCTGTTCTGCTCTTTTCCACTAAACAGTGGGTGCATTTAGTCCGTATTTGTTAAATGCTTGTTGAATGGCTAAAAAAGTTACACCTGAGTTGTCATTTTCTGTTCAAAGAAATCCTGAGGGCATGTGTCTCCTCTGGCCACTTCCCTGTGCCCTCCCCACCTCTCCCTCCAGGATCTGAACGCATCCTGCACCCCCTGCCTGCCTCCCAGCAGCTCCATCTCTGACCCCCAGAATAACTCGTTCTTCCTCATCACCCCGTCTCCCAATCTTTCTGTCTCTGGAAGTCTCCTGAATTCAGCCTAGCACCACCGCCACCCCCCAGCAAACAACCTGCTAAGAGTTGTCTGCACCAGTGACTAATGGGAGAGTTCCTGCCCCTTGAAATGATATGTAAATGCTTCTCGCCTTGGGGCCTGCTCATTCTTTGAGCATCTTTAAATTTTATATATTCAGTTAGGTAATTTATTCTTGCCAGTTATAAAGACAAACCTTTTTGTGAGAGTAATCTACTATGGGATATCTTTTATATTTGAAGACCTGAGTGTTAAGTTCCATGTTTCTAGACTTGAGGTCTGCTAGAAAATTTTTCTTTAAAATAAAGGGATCATTTAACCTTTACTCAGGTTAGCACCCACCCCGCAACATGTCCTGGGGTCTCCAGCCTCAGCATGACTTGAGGCTTAACATCCAAAGTGGCTGTGTGTGGCTTAAGGCCAACTCCTGCTGGGTACCCAGATGTGGGCTTTGGGTGGCGGGCAGGTGACTCCTTACCCGTGCCTCCTGCCTGCTGAGGGGGTTGAGATTTCAGGACATGCCTCTCCTGGCAGGTACAGAAGAGCTTGTCCTCAGCTGGGTCCATCCCAGCAGCTCGGCTGGGAACAGACTTGGGTGTGCTGGAGACGGGACTGCTGTCGTGTGTCCCGTTGGCTCTGTGGATGCAGAGAGGCCCTTTATCTTTGCTGTGTAATTGTCCAATTCTGGCTTTTGCTTTGGGAACCTTGCCTTGGGCAAGAAGACAGGCTGCTTATTTTCAGGACCATTTTTTACCAGATTCAAGATTAAATTGAGCTGTGCTGGCTTCCTGCTGAACATGAAATCTAGCTGGGTAAGAGGTGATTCCCAGGACCAGGGAGGGGTGGATTGACATTTGAGGACAGGTTTCCTTGTCACAGTTCTCATGTGGAGTAGAAGGAGGTGAGTGGAGTGCAGCTGTCACACTGGCCAGAGGCTGACGCAGTGGCCCTGGGGTGACTGCCAGGTCTGGTTTCCAGAGGTGTCACATTGGGATGAGACATACTCAGGCAAGGCAAGGCAGGAGACCTAGATGTGTCTCCACACGGTGGGGGCTTGCGGAACCCTGAGCACCACGATCACCGCAGTGTATGCAGCATATTATAGTAGTAGCATTTGATGAAACTGAGCTCCCATTCATGGTAAAAACTCAGTAAACTAGGAAGAGGGGAACTTCCTCAAATTGATAAAGAATAGCTCCAGAAAACCTACAGCTAACATCTACTTCGTGATGAGAGCCTGGAAGCCCTCCCACTGAGATCAGAAACAAGGTAAAGATGTTTCCCCCGCCGTTGCCTTTCAACATCATACTGGAAGTCCTAGCTAATGCAATAAGATGAGAAAAGGAAATTAAAGGTACACAGATTGAGATGAAAGAAATAAAACTGTCTTTGTTTGCAGATGAACATCTGTGTGGAAAATCTCAAAGATCTGACCAAAAATGTGAACCAGTAAGCAAGGTTGAAGGATACAAAATTACCATACGAGTCAGTCACTTTACTATGTACGAGCAATGAGCAATTGGAATTTGAAATTAAAAACAATACTGTTTACATTATTACCCCTCAAAATGAAATACTTAGGTATAAATCTAACAAAATATGTATTTGTACTTAAGACCTTTATGAAGAAAACTACAAAACTGCTAAAAGATATCAAAGAAGGACTAAATAAATGGAAAGATACATCACATGTCCATGGATGAGAAGACTCAGTCTTGTCAGGATGTCAGTTCTTCCCAGTTCGACTTGTAGATTCAGTATGATCCCAATCAAGACGCCTGGGTGGCTCAGTCAGTTAAGTGTTTGCCTTTGGCTCAGGTCATGATCTCAGGGTCCTGAGATCGAGTCCCGAGTTGGGCTCCCTGCTCAGCAGGGAGCCTGCTTCTCCCTCTGCCCCTTCCCCCTGCTTGTGTTCTTTTTCTTTTCTCAAATGAATAAATAAAATCTTTTAAAAAAATATAATCCCAATCAAATTTCAGCAGGTTATTTTGTAGGTACTGATAATGTGATTCTAAAGTTTATATGGAGAGTCAGAAAACCTACAATAACCAACATAATATTGAAGAAGAGCTAAGTTGGAGGACTGACACTACCTGACTTCAAGCCTTACTATAAAACTATAGTAGTCAAGAAGGTGCAGTGTTGGTGAAAGAACAGATCAATGGATAGACCTCCATAAATGTAGTCATTTATGACAAAGGAGCAAAGACAATATAATGGAGCAAAAACAGTTGTTTGAACAGATGGTGCTGGAACAACTGGACATCTACACACCAAAAAAATGTATCTAGACAAAGACCTTAGACCCTTCACAAGAATTAACTCAAAAGGGATCATAGACCTAAATGTAAAATGCAGAACTATAAAACTCCTAGAAGATAAAATAGAAAACCCAGAGGCCCTTGGGTTTGGACGTGATTTTTTAGACACAACACCAAAGGCAAGATCCACGAAAGAGATCACTGATACGCTAGACTCCATTGAAGTTAAAACTTCTGCTCTGCAAAAGATAGTATCAAGAGAATGAAAAGAAAAGCCACAGATTGGGAGAAAATATTTGTAAAAGACACGCCTGATAAAGGACTATTATTCAAAGTATACAAAGAACTCTTAAAACTCAGACTATAAGAAAACAAAAACAAAAAGACTTTAAAATGGGTTAAAGATCAGGTCACGATCCTGAGGTCCTGGGATCGAGCCCCGTGTCAGGCTTCCTGCCTGGCCAGCCTGCTGCTTCTCCCCTGCTTGTGCTCTCTAGCTCGCTGTCTCTCAAAGAAATAAAATCTTAAAATGGGCTAAAGACTTGAACAGACATGTCACCAAAGAAGAGCTAGAGATGGAAAATAAGCACATGAAAAGGTGCGCAACATCATATGTCCTCAGGGAAATGCAAATTCAGACAACGGTGAGACCCGGTTGCACACCTGTCAGAATGGCCCAGACCCGGAGCACTGACACCAAATGCCGGTGGGGGTGTGCGGCAGCAGGAACGTGCGCTCACCGACAGCAGGCATGCAGAGTTGTGCAGAGGACGAGTTGGCAGTTTCTTAACAAAAGTCAGCATACTCTTACCAGATGATCCAGCAGTTGTGCTCCTTGCTATTTACCCAAAAGACTTGAAGACCTCTCTCCACACAAAAACCCTGCACACACGTTTGTAGCAGTTTTATTCATAACTGCCAGAACTTGGAAGCAACCAACATTAAGTGTGGTACATCCAGACAATGGAACATTGTTCAGCACTAAAAGAGAAACGAGCTGTTGGGGCGCCTGGGTGGCTCAGTCGTTAGGCGTCTGCCTTCGGCTCAGGTCATGGTCCCGGGGTCCTTGGATCGAGTCCCACGTCGGGCTCCCTGCTCCGCGGGAAGCCTGCTTCTCCCTCTCCCACTCCCCCGGCTTGTGTTCCCTCTCTTGCTGTGTCTCTCTCTGCCAAATAAATAAATAAGTAATCTTTTAAAAAAAATAAATAAAAAGCCCTTAGAATGCTGTCTTCCAGGCCCTCCCATTTGCTGCCTGTTGAACGGACACCTGCCTGATGGTACGACTTGTGTTTAATTTCAGACAGGCCGACGGCCGCAAAGTCCTGCGGTCGAGCATCCGCGAGTTCCTGTGCAGCGAAGCAATGTTCCACCTGGGCATCCCCACCACGCGGGCCGGGGCCTGCGTCACGTCCCAGTCCACAGTCATTCGAGACGTCTTCTATGATGGTAATCCAAAATATGAGAAGTGCACAGTTGTGCTGCGCATAGCTTCCACTTTTCTAAGGTAATGCTGGGGTCCCTTCGGGCTGTGATGTGCGGAGACGGATGACAAGGCTGGTGGAGGGAACGCCCCGCCGGACACGTGTGGGGAACCCATCCCACGGCCAGTCCCGAGCAGCACCAGACGGCCCACGAAGTAGATGCTGGGCACCTGCAGGGAGGGAGGGGGTTCCGTGGGCAAAAGGCACCTGGCATTTCCTGGGCCGGGAGCCCTGTCCTGCGTGTGGATGGCTGTTCAGGCCCCTGTTGCCCCCAGAAGGGAGGCGGTGGCCGAGAGGTGGCCCGCGTTGCGGGCACGCAGCTGGCCTGGGTGAAGGGGGGCAGGGCCTCAGGCCAGAGGCGGGGCTCTGGGAAGGGGCATGTGCAGAGCTGTTCACTTGGAGTTTAGGACTAGGAAGGATATGAAAGTCACCGAGAAAGTGGCCTCGTTCCGTCACTGAAGAAGGGGCGACTCCACGCGTGCTGTGGCCGCCCTTGCTCCAGCCCGGTCACCCGCTGCCACCCTTTCTGGTCCCTCCCTGATGTCACCGTGCTGTCTGGCATCACACGGATCTGATGGCCCGGACCCACGGTTGTCAGGAAGCAGCTGTGACACCCTCTGGTCCCCCCTCCTGTGGAGCCAGGCGGACCCTGTGTGTCGGGGCCATTCACGCGGTGCCTAAGGCTCAGCGCCTGGCTTTTTCTTTTGTCCTCTGGGAGCTGGAGGAGCCAGGGCGGTCGCGTCCGCCTCCCCCAGGAGACCCAGGGCTGCTTCCCTGAGCGGCGCTCCTGGCAGTTCGACCAGCATAACCTAGGGGATTGGGGGGCCACCCTGGGCCTGCTAGCGGTAATGCTAGTCGTTGCGACGCCGCCTCACGTCCTCTGGGTGACAGACCACTCGGTCATAGAGCTGACCCTGCTTGTCAGCTGACCGCAGGACGCCAGTCACCGCCGTGCTCCTTGACCCGGGGGTGAGCACAGAGCCCTGCTGGTCCCCAGAGGCAGCCATGCCTTCCTGGGCCCCCCACACGCAGCCGGCGTGCGTGGTAGCTAACCAAGGGCAGAACGGGTCTGTCCGTATCACCGAAAGACCAGTTACGTTTTGTTTTTTTGTTTTTTTAAGATTTTATTTATTTATTTGAGAGAAAGAGAATGAGAGACAGCAAGAGAGGGAAGAGGGTCAGAGGGAGAGGCAGAGCCCCTGCTGAGCAGGGAGCCCGATGCGGGACTCAGTCCCGGGACTCCAGGATCATGACCTGAGCCGAAGGCAGTCGCTTAACCGACTGAGCCACCCAGGCGCCCCAACAATTTTTTTTTTAAGATTTTATTTATTTATTTATTTATTTGAGAGAGCGAGAAAGAGAGAGAGAGAAGGTCAGAGGGAGAAGCAGACCCCCCGCCGAGCAGGGAGCCCGATGCGGGACCCGATCCCAGGACTCCGGGATCATGACCTGAGCCGAAGGCAGTCGCCCAACCAACTGAGCCACCCAGGCGCCCCAAGACCAGTTACGTTTTTGTTGGTTTTGTTTTAATCAGGGTGTTCTTAGCGCCAGAGGCTACAAGGCCTAGCAGCCAGACTTCTGTTTTTCACAAGGGGCTAGAGCCATGTTTAACCTGTTAAAAACATGGGTATTTCCTCCAGGTTCGGATCCTTTGAGATTTTTAAGTCTGCAGATGAGCACACAGGGCGTGAAGGGCCCAGTGTGGGGAGAAATGACATCCGAGTCCAGATGCTTGACTATGTGATCAGCACGTTTTATCCTGAGATCCAGGCCGCGCACGCGGATGACCGTGTGCAGAGGAATGCCGCCTTCTTCCGGGAGGTAGGCGGGGCCGCACACCAGCCCTCCCTGCATCCCGCCTGCTGATGAGACAGGGTCTGCCAGGCGGGGGGGCCAAGGTTCTCTGAGTCACTCCCCGGTCCCAAAGCCTGTCCCCCCTTGTTGGCTCTGAGCAGGACCGACTTCTGGGAATGCTGCATTGAGGGTCGGGGGCCCTGAGACAAACCCTGTGCGCCCCCACCAGGCGCGGCGGGAGAACTGTGGGGGGGGAAGGACTCCGCTTCGGGGGGAGATGCGGACGGTCACGGCGGGGCCCCTGGCACAGCAGCCTGGACCCAGGGCAGGTTTTGCCGGCTCATGTGGTGACTTCCCTGTTTCCACACGGTTATCCTCCTGGGCCTGAGTTGTGGGGATGGTCAAGGCTCCCTGATATTTTTGGTTTCATGGGTAAAAGCCAAAATTAGTATATCAAAGAGACAGATGGCCTAAGTGGAAATTAGAGCCTACACGTGTGCACTCATCCAAGTGCTTTCCCTTCTTACCCGTCCTTCCGCGTTCGCCCCCGCTGCCGAGTGTGCGCCGAGAGGGCAAACCCGAGGGAGTTCCTGGGAGCAGAGCTGTCCTCAGGGAGGGAGGGGGCAGGGGACAACCTGCTCCCGTCGTGCCGCAGGTGACCCGTCGCACGGCCCGGATGGTGGCGGAGTGGCAGTGTGTGGGCTTCTGCCACGGCGTGCTCAACACAGACAACATGAGCATCGTGGGGCTCACCATCGACTACGGGCCCTTCGGCTTCCTGGACAGGTGAGCAGCCCGGGGCCAGCATGTGGGCGCAGCTGGGGAAGGACCTGCTGTCCTCGATGTTTGGTTGGAAATGCCTGGTCAGCCCTTTGCAGCAGCAGAAATCCCCTGGAAGGTTTGGAGCAGAGCGGCCTTTTCAGAGGGTCCCTCCACTCCCGGATTGGGAATGGACTCACGGGGCCAGGGCGGGAACAGGCGGCGAGCAGGAAGGAGGGACGCGGCCGGCCAGGGGCAGTGGGCTGAGGCGGCGCCGCCCCCCGGCTGACTGAGCGGGTGGGAGTCGGCGGCTGCGGCCTGGACCTGCGCCCGTCAGAGCGGGGCCCCTGCGAGGCAGGGCGGGAGGGCAGTGGCCACACGGACGCAGCCTCTGGGCACCCCGGGACCTGCCTCATCCCCTTGCTGGCTCCGCTTGCCCCGTGTGGCAGGTACGACCCTGACCACGTGTGCAATGCTTCCGACAACACTGGGCGCTACGCATACAGCAAGCAGCCCGACGTTTGCAAGTGGAACCTGCAGAAGCTGGCGGAGGCCCTGGAGCCCGAGCTGCCCCGCGAGCGGGGCGAGACCATCCTGGCCGAGGAGTTCGACCCGGAGTTCCGCCAGCACTACCTGCAGAAGATGCGCAGGAAGCTGGGCCTGGTGCGCGCCGAGCTGGACGAGGACGGGGCGCTGGTGGCCAAGCTCCTGGAGACCATGCACCTGACTGGTGAGTGTGACGGGGATCTGCTGCAGCAGCGCCCGGCGTTTTCGTTCGGTGAAATAGACACAACGTAAGATGGACCATTTTACCACGGGGTGTGCAGTTTGGGGGCACTAAGCACATTCACCCCGTCTGTCTCCCCACACGGACACCCTGTCATTTCCTCCTCCTCCCGCGCCCCTGGCACCCCCAGTCTACCGTCTGTCTGATCGGACTCCTGCAGGGACCTCCTGTGAAATGGGCCCATGCAGGGTTCATCCAGTGACGGCTGACAGCGCCGAGGACAGTGTCCTCAGGGTCCACGATGGTGACGCAGGTGTCCGCATTCTAGGCCCTTGTGTGGACGGACCACACTTTGCTCTTCCGTCAACGATGGATGCACACTGGTGGTTTTCCCCTTCAGGCTGTTGTGGACAACAGCGCTGGAAGACAGATGTGCAGACATCTGTTGGAGCCCGTTTTCAGTTCTTTCGGGGCTGCGCGGCAGAGCGGACCTACAGATCTGACACGGAGCTGCCGACCGCTCTGGCGGGAGCTTCCAGTACCGTGGTGAACGAAGCGGCTACGTGCGTGGCCGTCTGTCGCTCCTGCTCTTAGGGGGCGCTACCTCTTTCACTAGGTTGTGGCTTTTCCAGATACGGCTTTCACGAAATCGAGGAAGTTTCCTTCTATTCCTAGCTTGAGCGTTTTGGCCGTTTTGCATCAGCTGAGATGAGCACATGGTCGTACTCCTCCTCCTCACTTTGTGTCCTTAGTCAAGTTAAACCGCCATAAAAAACCACAGAGCGGCAGCTTGCCCAGCAAACACTGATTTCTCACAGTTCTGGAGGCTGGGGGTCGGAGGTCAGGGTGCAGTGTGGTCGGGTTGCTGGTGAGGGCTTCCTTCCCTGGCCAAGAGCCGAGAGGGACCCCACCGGAGGCCCCCACTGTCCTTACCGGGACGCTGGTCTGCGGGGTCTTTGGCTTGGATATCCAGGCAACGCTGAGTTAGGAAATGTTCCCTCCTGTATTTTGGAAGAGTTTGAGAAGGACTGGTGATGATTCTTTGATATTTGGTAGAACTTACCAGTGAAGCTACCTGGTCCTACCGTTGTCTTTGTTGGGAGGGTTCTGATGGCCCATTCAGTCTCCTGACTTGTCACAAGGCTACTCAGATTTTCTATTTCTTCTGAGTCCACTCTGGCAGACGGTGTTTCTAAGAATTTGTCCATTTCATCTACATATCTGACGTATCGGTGTGGAACTGTTCAGTCTTCTCTTACAGTCCTGTTTCTGTGTGACCAGTAGTCACCGCCCCACTTTCATTTCTGATTTTAGTTACGGGGCAGTAGCTAAAGGTTTGTCAATCTTGTTGATCTTTTCAAAGAACCAGATAACTCTTGGTTTCAGTGGTTTTCGCTTCTTTTTTGTTCTCTATTTCGTTTATCTCTGCTATACCCTCTATTTCCGGTCTTTCGGCTAGCCTTAGTCTTATTTTGTTTTCTTTCTAGTTCCTTAGGTGTAAGATTAAGTTACTGGTTTGAGGCTTTTTTCCCTTTGAGATTTAACGGGTATGTAATGGTGTCAGGGGTACGTGATTCGCTGTTTGTAGAGATCGCAAAACTGTTGACTTCCATCACCACACAGTTGCAAATTTCTTTTTTGGGGGGGATAAAAGAGGTCTGCTCTCCTAATGTAGGTAATTAGCACCATAAAATTCTCTGTGACCACTGCTTTTGGGCATCCTATAAATTTCAGTATTTGTGTTTCCACATTTTCCTGCCTCTCAGTATTTTCTGCTTTCCCTTGTGATTTCTTTTTGGGCCCATTGGTTAATTTTCACAGTATCTGGGGATTTCCCAGTTTTCCTTCTGTTTGTGATTGCGATCTTCATTCCATTGTGGTTGGAGAAGATACCAGTCTTTTTAAGCATATTGACTTGCTTTGTGGCTGAACAAGTGGTCTGTCCTGTGTGCACTTGAGGAGACAGCTGTCTGTCTGATGGAGCAGCCGGACGGTGTTCAAGTTCCCCGTGTCCTCACTGGTCTGTCGTGCGGACGTTCCGTCCATTATCCAAAAGTGGGGCGCTGAAGCCTCCGGCTCCTACAGGGAACTGTGCTGTTTCTCCTTCCATTTTACGAATGTTTGGTTTGTATGTTTATAACCATTACATCTTCTTGATGAACAGGCTGTTCGACACATAAAGGCCTTGTCATTTGCAGGTCTCTTGCTGACAGTGGGAGGGCTGGCCCCGCTCTGCAGGTTACCATTTCCTTGGGGTATTTTTTCTGTCCTCTCTCTTTAGGCTGGACAAGTTGAAAGTACTTTTTTTAGTTCAAGCTGCCAGTCTCATTTGGAGATGAATCCTTTTAAGTCATTACCGATGAGGACTTCTGTCGTTTTGCTGTTTGTGGTCTGTGTCCTCTGCCATTTTTCATCCCTCATCTCCTCCATTACTGCTTTTGTGTCTCTGTTCTGGCCCCTTCTCGTTTCCCTTTTGTGTCTCTTCCCGGGATGTTCTCCCGGGGGTTATAGGGACTGTGTTTTAACAAGTCAGGCCAAGGATCTCCCCGTATCTGTTCTGTGTTGAGCCCTGTTTGTTTGGAAGTGTTTCAGGGGCTTGTCCTTGACGGCCTGCAGCTCAAGTAGGCAGTGAGGACTGTGCCCACAGTGGGGGTGGCCAGGGGCTGACCGTGGTGGCTTTGCCGTACTTACCTGATTCACGGATGAAGGAGCGGGGGCTTAGAGTGGTGGCCAAGCTGGGTGGCAGGTGGGTGGGGGCTGTTGAGGCGGCTGGAGGGGAGGGGTCGCGAGGCATCTGCCCTCAGCGTGGACGGTGGTGCGGGAGGCAGGTGCAGGGCCCTGCCTCTGCCTGCCGGCACCCTGAGCAGCGGCGTGTTCCAGGGGCCGACTTCACAAACACCTTCTACTTGCTGAGCTCCTTCCCAGTTGGGCCAGAGTCCCTGGGCCTGCCTGAGTTCCTGGCCGCGCTGACCGCACAGTGTGCCTCCCTGGAGGAGCTGAAGCTCGCCTTCCGACCCCAGATGGATCCCCGGTGGGTACCCAGGTCTCACTTCTTGGAATTTGCTTCCAGAAGGAGAGGACCATTGAGAACAGAGCACGCCAGGGAACAGAAGAGGGAGCTGGCTGAGGCTTCTGGGGAAGGGGGTGGTCAAGCCCCCCTGTCTGCAGCGCTGAGGCCCGCCGGTCAGAGGGAAGGACAGCATGTTGTCACCACTGGGGGAGGCCAGTGGCACGGCTGGGGAGCAGCTTCCCAGAATGGCTCTCTCGTCTGCCCAGGAAGAGCCCCGGGGCCCTCAGGTCTCAGCCAGACCAGGCTTTCCTGCGCCACCTCCCACTGGGAAGAGTACACGGTGTCTGAGCCCACACTCAGAGTAAGACACGGCAAGCGCTGGGGTTTGAGAGAATTTAGTGCCGCAGGGTGGTGAGTGCTGACGGAGGACAGGCTAGTAGGACCGGGGAAGGGGGTGTCGGTGTTGTCCCTGCCCCACCCCCAGGCCCCTCTGCAAGTGGGGAAGGACCCGGCCTTGTGGCCACCGTGGGGAAGCGGCCAGCAGTGCCCTCCCCGGGGGGGAAGCAGGTGCCCCACGTGCCCCAGGCACCCGCAGGGCACTGCCCCTCGGCTGTCCCGCGGCCGGGAGGGGCTGCCGCGGAGTAGGGGTGAACAGCTGCCCCACTGGTCGGGCCGGGTCACCCCCTTGCAGGGCAGTCAGCACAGCAGAGCGGCTAAAGCCAGTGCCACCTCCCCCGCGCCCGGTGGCCATCTTCCAGGGGCCCAGGGGCCTCAGGACGCAGCCCATGGCCGGGGTGGGGACGCGCCTCACGCTGCCCCTCCGCACAGGCAGCTCTCGATGATGCTGATGCTGGCACAGTCCAACCCCCAGCTCTTCGCGCTCATCGGCACCCGGGCGAACGTGACGAAGGAGCTAGAACGCGTGGAGCAGCATTCGCGGCTGGAGCAGCTGAGCCCGGCTGAGCTGCTGAGCAAGAACAGGGGCCACTGGGCTGACTGGCTCCAGGAGTATGGGTGAGGCTCCAGGCGGCCGGGCGCGGACTGCTCGCGTCACCCTCTCCCTGGGAGGTGGCTGCAGACGACGCCCCCCAAGCAGGGAACCAAATGCAGGAGGGGTGGGGGGGTGGCACCTGCTGGAAAGATGAACTTGGATGATTCCAGAGCCCGGCTGGAGAAGGACAGGGAGGGCGTCAGCGACAAGGATGCCTGGCAGGCTGAGCGCACGCGCGTCATGCATGCCAACAACCCCAAGTACGTCCTGCGGAACTACATCGCCCAGAATGCCATCGAGGCCGCCGAGAACGGAGACTTCTCAGAGGCAAGCACACGCCTGTCCCTCCTCCGTCCCTGGGTCCAGCAGCAGGGGATGGTCCGGGGAGCGAGCGGCAGCCCCTAAAAGTCCTCTCCTGGCCCTTCTCCAGGTGCGGCGGGTGCTGAAGCTACTGGAAACCCCTTACCACAGGGACGGGGAGGCCACCGAGGACCTGGAGGCCACTGAGCCTGAGGGGGCTGGCGGGGCAGACAGTGGGGGGCACTCCTACAGCAGCAAGCCCCCACTGTGGGCAGCCGAACTGTGCGTGACGTGATCCTCGTAATGGCCTTGGAGGCCTCCACATGTGGAGCCCCCAAGGCCCCGAGTCCCACCGAGTCCTTGAGACGGTGCCACCCTGTGGACAAACCCACCCCCGTCTCTCCATGACGGCCGAGACGTCCAGTCAGGACCTGACCTGTCTCTGTCTGACGCAGACTCAGCAGCCCAGCCCCACGCTCAGAGACGCGGCCCCCCAAATAAACCAGCAGCTTCCCTGGCCGGTCTCCGTGTGGTGGCTCTGCCCCTGGCCCACCAGCCTGGGGACCCGGGGGGGGGCGGGGGGGGGCACCTGTGTCCCGCGGCCTCAGGCATCCTGATAGTAGTTGTTGAAGTTGATGCGCAGCAGGAAGTCCTCCAGGTGAGGCTGGTAGCCCCGGTTCACCAGCTTGGTCACCACTGGAGGGTGGGGGGGTGCGGCTCAGCCAGGCCCAGCCGGTGGCCTCTGCCCTGCTGTCCCGAAGCCCTCCCGGCCCTGGGGGACAGGCACCTTTAAACAGGAAGTGGGAGTAGTACTTGAAGGTGCTGTAGGACTGCTGCATGAGAGCGAAGTTAGGGTGCTCCGCACCCCGGGGGCCACCGGCCGGGACCCAGGGCTGGGAGATAAGCTGGCTGCGGAACTTGAGGACGAGGCTGAAGATGCTGTGGATGACGTTCATGACGGGCGCAGCCTTCTCTGTCAGCAGGCCCCTGGGGGGGCAGGCACCTGCCAGTGAGGGGTGCCCGGCCCCCTCTGCACGTGCCCAAGGAGTAGCCCAGGCACAGCGGCTCACCTGAAGACAGCCTTGTGCAGGTACTCGGCATGCGCACGCTGGATCTCCTCAAGGTCGCCCACCTGCGCCAGCCGGGCTCGGAACTCACACCAGGTGACGTGCAGGATCTGGTTGGCGATGTAGCCCTGGGTGACCTTGACGAAGTGCTGCATCTCGTGCTTGAACAGCTGCAGCTGGCGGAACTGCACCGAGCCGGCCGCCTGGCTCACCAGAGCTGGGGGGCGCAGAGGCGTTAGCCGGGCCCCGGAGAGAGCAAGCCTGGGCTCTGGGCCAAGCCTCACCTGTGCGCTTGAGGTGGAAGCAAATGTCCTTGAGCGTCCACATCATCAGCTTCAGCTGCAGCAGGAAGGAGAAGATGCCGCTGTAGCGGCTCAGGCAGCCCTCGGTGACCACGACGTTGAGGGGCCAGTCGATCTGCGGGGAAGCCGGCTCAGCACAGCGGCGCGGGGGAGCGCCCGGCCCGCCCGCCCACTCGGTGAGGCCCTGCTGACCTTGTACCTGAGCTCCAGGCAGCTCAGCACGTCCGGGGCGTTGGGGGCAAACGCCTCGGGCAGGAACTTGAGGGCAAAGGAGAGGTTGTCCGCGAACGGGGTGTCCCCGTGCAGGCTGTACTGCAGGGCCTTGCTCAGCACAGAGTTGAGCACCAGCGGGTTGAGCAGCTCCCCGGGCGTCTGCCCCGCCCCCAGCTGCCAGGAGAGGGCACGGCTGTCCCGAGGGAGTCCCGGCTGTCCCGAGGGAGTCCCGGCTGTCCCGAGGGAGTCCCGGCACCGGCCCCCGCCCCGCGCCCAGGGGTCACCTTCTCAAACAGCAGATCGCTGAGCGACTGTGCGAACTCCCCGTCCTCCATGAGCAGGAAGTGCCGCAGCGCCTCGAAGTGCGCCTCCAAGCCGAGCTCCACGAAGAAGTAGTCCACGGCGGCCTTGTTCACCAACGAGACGCTGGCAGGAGGGGCGGGGTCAGGGTCAGGGGCGGGGCCTGGCCACCCGGGGCGGGGCCTCCCGGGGGGCGGGCACTCACTGCGCAGCCAGCGGGGCAGTGATGGAGTGCTTCATGAGCACGGGCAGGGGCAGCAGCTCGCTCAGCTGCACCGCGGTCTCATCTGCATCTGACCGGGTCCGGGGGTCCTCCGGGAGGGCGAAGGCGCGGGGAAGCCCGTGGTGTAGCAGGTGGGCGGCGGGAGTTTCCGCTGTACGATGGCAGATGACCGTTAAGAGGCGGGGACACACTGGCCGCGCTCCCGCCCGCCGCTGCGTCTGGCCACTCACACATGGCCTCGTAGCTGTCCGGGTACTGCTCCAGCCGGTACTGCTCTATCAGACCCGCCAGGTAGGCCTGCTCCTGGCCCCAGCGCTGGGCCGCAGCCGCCTCCTCACCGAGGCCGGGGCTGCTCTGGGCCGCCGCGCCTTCCTAGGAAGGACAGGGTGGAGTGGGATCCCCTCCGTGCTGCCCCATCCTGGAGGACCAAAGCCCTCACTGCCCATGCGAGGCCAGAGCCCTAGCCACATCTGCCCTCACCTGTGAGCTTGGAGGGTGACCTGGAGAGAGGTCCTCAGTGTCCCCACTCGTCCCTGGTCCTGAGCAACACAAGTGGGGCAGGAGGGGTATCAGGGCCAAGTGCCTCCTACAGGGTGATACCTCCCAAGTCCCCAGGGCTGCAGCCTTCTTGCCCTTCCTCCTTGCCCACACCCCTCCCGGGCCCACAGGTGCCCCCAGTGACAGGAGAGCTGTAGGGACCCCACTGACCTGGCTCCTTGGGGATACCATCTCCCAGATCCCCGGATGCAGCCACTGCAGACAGCGAAGGCTGGAGGCCACTCGCCTGCCCACTACTGGAGCCAGCCTCCTGAGCACAGGAGCTGTCAGAAGCCGTCTCTGCAGGCAGCCGTGGCTCGTGCTCCCAGACAGGGCTCTGTGCTCCCAGGCTGAGGCCTGACTGGGATACATGGTCAGGGGGGCTCTGGCAGGGCCTGGGTGGATCAGGCTGGCCTTCCCCAGAGAGCGCACCCAGTACCACATGGGACTGAGACACGTGTCCGTGGACGTTCCACCGTGGCCG